ACGTTTTTGCATAGTTCCCGCAGGTTTTTATCGCTAACAGCGCCAATTTATCAGGCAGATGCTTCTAGCTAAAATAATTGAGACACGCCGTCAGGACTGTCAGAAAACACACTCTTAAAATTTAGCTTTCTATTTTTCCTGGTTCCCGACTTAGGAACTTACCCGTAAAAAACATTCATGGGCCCGGACTTGGGAACTACGCACACCTGGAGGCTGGATTGGAACTCGTTAACACCTGCGTGAACGGAAAACATTTCTTTAAGAATGCAGTCTTCTAGCTTTTCAGATTCCCTAGTTAGCAGCATGCCACGCGGGCACATGGGCACCACGCGGGTAAGAGCTCCCATTTCGGGGAAGGGGGCCCGCAGATGCATATAGATTAAGTTCGCAAAGTTTCAACTCTATAGCTTTTTTAGGTCTCGCGATGAAAATCGGTACAGATGAACATACACACACAAACAACCCTTCATCAATACGCGTTTTCTGCATTGCATAGATGCAAAATGCGCATAAAAATCACGATAAAAACATAAATTAGACCGTGAATTCTTAATTTTTTTCCTTAAATAATTAGTCGCTGCACAGTGACTGATTGGTATTTTGTTTTCCAAAAACATTCCATGCAGTATCTGAGAGAGAAACAATTTGCGCTCAAAAATTTGAAAAAAAAAATGGTAAAAATGATACATTGTTATCATGAGCGCTCTTGACTAGATCATCCAGGAACAACACATTTCCTTCGGTATTCGGATATTGCAAAATTACTCCAGCCACATTGCTGTCGAAACTTGGATTCGTAACTTTCAGATTTTCCAGCTCAATGTTCAACGGTCTTAAATGATTTTTGGAGGAATTGTTGAGCAAATGATAATTTTAACAGTTCCGCGTAAAATTATAAACTATACTGCACACTTTTATAACATAAAATAAAGTGTGATTTTTAAAATAATAGTAAAAAAATGTGGTAAAAAGCAGGAAGGGTGTAAAACGAAAATGAGAGGATATTAATGCACAAATTTGTTCAATACAGATATGTAGTCAGAACGAAAACAAATAGAAAGGAATGTTTCGGTCCGCTGACTTGTAGAATTTTTCCAGGTTAAGGCAGTGTATAATGCGTCAAATTCAAAAATTAAAGAAATTTATCATTTTTTGCAACTCTTTTTACAGTTACCTTGCTCGTGTTTCGATGACGGCAATGTTCTGTGGATGGAGCAGTGGATCAACGAGTAATTTGGCGCGTTTCGTGAATCGAACGGCCAGTGTCATTGCTTCAGCACATGCAGTGCTTTCATCCAGCAGAGAAGCATTTGCAATTTCCAGGCCTGTCAAATCTCTCACCATCGTTTGAAAATTTAGCAAACTTTCCAGGCGCCCTTGTGCTATTTCCGGTTGATATGGTGTATACTGAGTAAGCCTAAATTACTCCTATAAGTGTTGCCGTTAACAGCTGATAATACTTGAGTCAGCATAACTTAGGCTCTTTGGATCTATCACTACTAAATTAGCTATTTGCAAAAGTTAAAATCCCCTCCGCATTCATTCTCCATGAGAGGCGGAGGCTCTCGAAAGTAGTGTTGGGCCAGCAGCAATTACTCGCTGACAAAACTGTCGATGGTTCTCTCTTTCAAGGATTGCTTTGAAAAAACAAGATAATTCTCTGTTCCCTAAATATCTTACTGCATGCAATACAGCATAATTTATTATATGATTTCGCAATTTTTGTACTGGCGAAACGCAGCTACGGCAGGGAAGTCTGTTATGTTAAACAGATCACCGTAAGTTAGACTATCAGCTCAAATTTTTAAATAATTGCCCATAAAATTCAGTTCTTTATTTTTCTAGTTTTTCATCTTCATTGTCATACTTTTAATTTTTCGTTATTTTTGTTCTCCACCTTTTTTTATCCGTTCATTATAATTTTCACTGCTATTTAACTTAACTGAATTATTACATATTAATAAAAGTCTGGAATCGAAAACTGGACTAACACACCTGTTACGTGCATCAACTCAGAAAGAGTGTTTTATAGGTCTTTTTGATTAAACTGACGAAAGCTGTTGGATTAAATCCAAACAGTAGCCCTTAGAAAATGAAGTGCACAGACTTAAAGAGATAAGAAAATTTCATTTAGACCGCTCTCGGTTTTCGCTAGTGGGCTTTATCAGTTGTTCCACTTTTGTTATCATTGCAACATAATGCCTCAGATTCTCCAGGGTTTCTTTGCAACTGTCAAAGTAATAGCATTTTTAAGAGAAGAATCCAAAAAGATCAGATCTCTTTTCGCCGAAAACTTGTTCTGCAAAAACTATTGTAGCAGTGAAGTTTAGTATGGAGCAGGAGATCGACTGGGCTAAACTAGCGAGTGTCTCTGATGGGCTATATTAAGGGGCACACTAAAAAAAACAAACCATCCAGCATTTTCGAGCATGTTGCGCCTGATGACCGATGGTACAATACAGTC